ATGCACATAAAAAAGACGCAATTTAACAAAATCATCCTTAAAAATGGAATATATAAATACAGTTGGTGTAAAACTGAAATATTATCTTATTACAAGTTACATCTTTTACAGCAAGGAAGATTATTTTTAAAACAGTTACGACGTTTCGATCACTGGTGCGATCATTCTGAAGTACACAAGTTTTCGCACCAGTGATCGAAACGTCATAACTGTTCTAAAAGTAGTCTTCCTTTCTGTAAAAGCTGTAACTTATAATAAAATAATACTTAACCAGTAAGTAAACTGAAATAGTTGAATCTATAGCTACAATAACAAGTATGTCGTATCCTGAGTTACATAATTATTGTTACTGTTGTACTGTGTAGCGTAGTACATAATTATTGTTACTGTTGTACTGTGTAGCGTAGTACATAATTATTGTTAATGTTGTACTGTGTAGCGTAGTACATAATTATTGTTAATGTTGTACTGTGTAACGCAGTACATAATTATTGTTAATGCTGTACTGTGTAACATAATACATAATTATTGTTAATGTTGTACTGTGTAGCGTAGTACATAATTATTGTTAATGTTGTACTGTGTAACGTAGTACATAATTATTGTTAATGTTGTACTGTGTAGCGTAGTACATAATTATTGTCAATGTTGTACTGTGTAACGCAGTACATAATTATTGTTAATTTTGTACTGTGTAACATAGTACATAATTATTGTTAATGTTGTACTGTGTAACGTAGTACATAATTATTGTTAATGTTGTACTGTGTAGCGTAATGTAACACTATTGTCAACATTAGACTGTGCAATGTAATGTAACTATTGTCAATATTGTACTGTACAATGTAATGTTATTATTGTTTAGTGTATAATTATTGTTGACTGTCCCGTGTAGTGTGACACCCGATGGGACAGCGGTTAGTCTACGGACTTATAACGCTAAATTCCGGGGTTCGATTCTCCGCGGTGAACACAGAAGATAGTCTAATATGGCTCTGAAGCAAACATACAAACAAACCTGTGTAGTGAATTAAATAGTTGTTAAAATTATGTACAAAACTGTAGTTATCACAGTGTCGTAGGATGTACAGATGATGATCATATCATACAGTGTCGTAGGATGTACTTTAGTATATTATGCTGTTTATATGGACGTGTACATGTATTTTATATCACGCTGTGCAGAAAGATGTGTAGATATACTTTCATGTATTTTATTGTGTCTAACGATGTTTACATCCTACTGTGTAGTAGGTTGTATAGACACTGTTAACATCATACCGTGTAGTAGGATGAATATATATGCTGTTAACATCATACTGTGCAGTGGGATTTATTACTGCAGTTCATATGAGCACCCTTAGAACATAGCTTTTTTTTTTTTTACAACTGTTGTTATGTGATGTGATTTTCGCCATCGCTCATCAAACCTCTTTATAGTCTTATAAAATAAACGTTTTTGACACATTTGTCCTTGAAGTTGACTTTACTGACCATGCCCACACATTGTAATAATCATACCTAAACGTGCCGAGCCAGATCGAAGCAGAGATAACGGTAATGATGGGGTTCAGCGCTAAATGAACTAAAGCAGCTGTTTCTTGTGACGTGACCCTTTGTTGGAGCTGATCTTGATGCGCAAGGGGGGGAGTCACTGTTTTCAGTCTTACTTTCACCCACTTTCACGATTATTTTGAAGTTAGTGTACAGCGACTGTATACAGAATGTTGTTTTAACTCACTTCTTTCACCAAAAAAAATATTTAAAAAGTATATCATTCAAAGCTGGCCTTGCACGATCCTTTGAAAACATATTTGCGTCTTATTTTTCTTTATGACGACTGTCTTGTGATACGTGGTTAAGGTTTAGAGTCTAGACCTCTTACGGAGACACAAGAACGATAATATTAACACGTTTATTTTATCCAGTGATTAGGACATAGAAAAAAATACGTAATTTATTAAACATGAGTAGATAAATACGTCATATTATGATATATCTCATAACAAAGTAAATATGTTGTATTTACTTTTGTGCGCCCTCTAGAGAGAGAAAAGTATTGCTATATATATGTGTGTTTTTAATAATCAAATATATGATTGATACGCATCATTTACATAATTATAGTTGCAGAAAATGCATTACAATATGTGGGTGTTGTTTGTAAAGATATATATATATACTATTAATCTTTAAGAATGTAATTATATTAATATCTACATTTATAAATTTCCTGTTTACCACGCTTATATGTACGGACTACCACATCTGGTTGATAAAGAAGTACAAAAGCTAAACTAAACGCGTGAACGAAGGAAGATGAAACTAAGAAACTGGTAACAACTAAGACGGCTTAAACTAAGGTTAAAAACTGAGACGGGTTAAAAATTAAGACATGCAAAAAACCAAGACGGGTAAAAACTAAGCCGGGTTAAAAATTAAGAGAGATTAAAATCTAAAAGGAGTTAAAAACTAAGAGAGGTTAAAACTAAGGTTAAAAACTGAGACGGGTTAAACACTAAAACAGGTTAAAAATTAAGAGAGGTTAAAACCTAAAAGGGGTTAAAAATTAAGAGAGGATTGGGGTTATTTAAACAGACAAGTAAAATAGAACTGGGGATTATTTTAACAGATTAGTAAAACAACTGAAGTTATTAAACAGTTAAAAACTAAATCAGCACCGCGAATTATATAAACGGACTGGTGAAAATTAAAACGGGACTTGAGATTATTTTACCAGTATGGTAAAACTACAACAGGACCAGAGATTACTGAAAGAGACTGGTAAAAATAAGATAGAATTTGAGGTTATATAAATAGGCTCCTAAAATTAATAGAGGACTGGCGATTATTTAAACAGACTGGGGAAAAATGGTAGGTTATTTAAACAGATTGGTAAAAGTTAAGACAGGACTAGAAGTTATTTAAACCATCTATTAAAAACTAAACAGTAGTGAAGATTATTTCAACAGGCTAGTAACAACTTAAACAGGACTGGAGTTTATTTAAACAGACTGGTAAGAACTAAAACAAGCCTGGAGATTATTTAAACAGACTGGCAAGAACTAAAATAGAGCTGGAGATTATTTAAACAGACTGGTAAGAACTAAAACAAGCCTGGAGATTATTTAAACAGACTGGCAAGAACTAAAATAGAGCTGGAGATTATTTAAACAGACTGGTAAGAACTGAAATAGGGCTGGAAATTATTTAAACAGACTGGTAAGAGCTGAAATAGGGCTGGAGATTATTTAAACAGTGTGGTTTGAATTTGGAGCAAATCTACACGAGAGCTATCTGCGCTAGCCGTCTCTAATTTAGCAGTAAAAGACTGGAGGGAAGGCAGCTATTCACCACCACCCACCGCTAACTCTTGAGCTACTCTTTTACCAACGAATAGTGGGATTGACCGTCACATTATAACGTCTTCACGGCTGAAGGGGCAAGCATGTTTGATGGGACGGGAATTCGAACCCGCAGATTGCGAGTCGAGCGCCTTAACCACCTGGCCATGCCAGACTTTATTTAAACAGACACATAAAACTAATGCAGGCCTTCGGGTTATTTAAGCAAACTGGTAATAACTAAAATAGGACTGGGGATTAAACAGACTGGCCATAAAAGAAACGTATTACACTCACAGACACACACACACTTATATTTACTAAATTGTTAGTCCTCCGTTGGGACAGCGGTAAGTTTACGAACTTACAACACTATAATCCGGGGTTCGATTCATCGTGGATACAGCAGTATTGTATGTTGGGGTTTTGCTTTAAAATAAACAAGTAAACTAAATCGTTAAAATATATAAAATAAAATGTTAAATAACTTGAGCCGTCTTTTTTTATCAAGTACCATTTAACACTTGCTATAAATTTAGTTAGACTGAAAACAAATTCTTAAGCTCCAAGTTTTAGTGTGAAATCTTAGTGGGCAACATACTCACTCGGTTGTTATGGAGGTAAGTGGAAGGTGGTAATGTCTGTTTCTGCATTTCAGTGTTCTTGCTTGCGCCTGCGCGATTTGCACTACCTAACCGGTTTACATATTTTGATCAAAATATAAACGAGGCCACTATATATCCATATTTACTACCGCAAGAATGCTCTAGTCCGGGTCACAATCTGCCAAAAATACATCAATTTTATAACTTTAAACTTACATTTAAATATAGCTTGAATAACAACAACACCAATAAAGGTAGACTCAACCAGAGTATTAACGTAACAGAGAATGAAAAAACAACACAACTAAATTAACCTTAAATAGTGGCAAAACATTCATTTTAATTCATAACAACCCACATCTGCTACAAAGCTCCACAAAGGGCTATCTACGCAATAACCGTCCCTAAGGGAAGGCAACTAGCAAACAGCACTCTCCGTCAACTCTTATGTGACCGAATTATGGGATTTGACCGCTACTTTTATAATGCAACCATGAGTCCAAAGTGTGGGGCCAGGCGTGGCCTACTGGTTAACGTGCTGTACTGTAGATCCGATGAATCCGACTGTAAATCCAAAGTGCGGAAAGAGATTTTGAGACAACAGGACGCAAACCATGAATCTCCGGATTCGCAGTCCGGGCAAGCTAACCGCTGATAAATCTCGCCACCAAATTACACAAATGACAGATGAGCTTACAGATAGTCAAGGCTGCCCCCCAGTGGCACAGCGGTATGTCTGCGGATTTACAATGCTAGAAACCGGGTTCCGATACCCGTGGTGGGCAGAGAACAGATAGCCCATTGTGTAGATTTGTGCTTAATTACAAACACACAAACGTTAGTTATCCTTGCTATGCAGACAGAAAGCAAGTTCTTCTATAAATTCAGTTGTTAGTCTTCATATAAGTATATTCCGTGATTTATTAGAACTTCATCAGTTTTAAAGTTTATGAATGGTTGCTTAGTTTGATGTAATATTACAAGTGTATATTTATTCTGTATAACTAAATAGCGGTTACAATAATTAATTTTTCGTTCATTTTCAAAACAGGAGTCGGGATTGTATTGATTACAGTTAGCGGAATCGCGATGAAACTGACGTCGCAAGACGCCCCCTCGTGTCGAGCGATGTTAGGCATACAGTCAGACAATCCAGAGCCTAACAGAAGGTTTGTGCCTCGAGTGCCACCTTACGGACGACCACATCACCCTTACGGAGGTTGGTATAGACGATATTTTCAGAGTACGCCTCGTCTGTACAGCTACTTATACAAACTCTTTTATTACCTCACACAATAAGTAAATGAACATTTAGCGCCTAAGAAGAAGAAAAAAAAAGGCTTAGAGTCTGTTTCTAGTTATGCACAAAGCCACACTAAGAACTATCGAAAATATGATTTAGTCTATCATTTCTAAATTAGGTACGGCTAGCGCAGATAGCCCTCAAGTAGCTCTGCGCGAAAATTACAAAAAAAAAACAACAACAACCAAACATCATGGAAGAATACTGTTTCGTCAAACGTATAGACCGTGTAAGACATCCACGGCCAAATGCAACAATATAGTTTTAGGAGTTTGATCTCCTCCAGCTTAGCACCCATTCGGTTTGAAGGTGAAAAGATTTCATGGATATTACCTAAAAAAACATTTTTTCGTTATCACGGTCAAAGGGCATTTTTTTGTAATTAATTCATTAATAATGAAGAAGTTCAGCCTTCGAGTTTCTGTAGTTGTGACTGAACTAATATGTGAGCTTGTTCTGTGGGAAGTAATGATACTGTGTGGGAAGTCACGTGCTCCCTTTTTAATCTGTCAACCAGGGTTAGCTAGCGTTCTTATTAATTACAACTACGACCAACGTGGCACTGAAATTAACTTGAAATTTATCCTTATTTTAACTATTATTAATGTGATTATGATGTGCAATCCCTATAGTAATCTCTTGGAAGTAATTACACACAATTAATTTCTCTAAGTGTTCGTAATAATTTATGAGCTTCATTATAGATTAAACCTTATCCCAATCTGACAAGAACAATTACAATATTTCTGACACTGTTTAAATATGTTTCTGCTAATTTAAAGATATAAAACGACTACTTATCTTTTAATTAATTCATTACGAAGTGTTTCTCAGATAATTTTGTTTTAAAAAAATGTATTATACGCTTAAGACAGTCGTTACATTGGAAAATTAAACTTTCCATACTACAAGCAGATTCATGTAAGACATTTTACAAACGTCTGTATAATCTTCATACTTCTTTTCCAACTTGTAGCTATGATGTATCCAGAATTCCAACATCGCCCTCCACCTCCTTCCTACCAAGCTTCCATGCAAGAATATCGTTTAAGACTGCTGCTCCTCGATCGTCAACAGGGGGCGTTATCTTCTTCGCTATCACCAGTGTCCCCGCCCCCTACGTATCGTTCACACCCTAGTAGCACTTTGCAGAGGTAAGGCAATTTTTCTTTCTTTCTTTTTACTAATACAGATAACTTATAGCATGAAACATAGTTTTCGAATGTATAGCAAATAAAACTAACATTTAAAATATATATGATATTTATCCTTTTTTTAAGTCTAAAGAATACAATATTACTATTTATTACATCTTAATATTTGGTTTGTTTTCACAACAACAAAAAGTAGCGTTTAAAACTCATATAAGATAACTAAAAACTGTTTGAACAATTGCTTTAATTATTCACATATTCAATAACTTCTGGTCAAAGTAACTACACACATAGATTAGAAGTGAAATGAATATTATCTTAATATATCATACATTCTCACTTATACGATTAGAATGCACTGATTTATCAATGGAATATTCTTGCTGTTAGCGATATTTTCGTCCGTAATTCCATTAATATATTAAACGTTGTAACCAACAGTTTTAATGAGAATAACATCAATGGGAGAATATAACTTGATTAGCTGGTACTTTCAGACACAAAACTAGCTTTTTAAAAAAAAACTGATTAAATATATTTCAATAAGAAAAAGGTTTGTGACAAGGTAACCACAAAGCTTGTCATATAGTCTGAACAACAGCTTATAAAATTTAAATTTTTTAGACTCAGTTCCAAGCTTTTTTTAAAAAAAAGAGTAGTAATGGTAAAGAAGATACCCACCTAAGATTATAACAATTTTTAAAGGCACAGGAATAAAAAGCTGTGAATTATAAAAAAAAAATAGGTGTAATTTGAGGAGTACAAGAAATGTAGTTTGTTATTTTGTCATTACAAAAATAGAATATAATTATAACATTTTTAATAGGCAGCCGTTGAACTTGGCGGAACGAGAGTGCAGCCGACCTCCAAGTTACCGCTCGCGAGCCAGTTCTGGTGCGGCGCTACGAGCGAGTTCGGACACATTGGAATCTCGTCGAAACGATACTCTTCACGAGAATGGTGGTTCACGAAATCATACTAGTCACAGCCGTAACGCATCCCTAACTTTAAGTTTTCTATCTCATGAATCTCTTTTTGTAGACTCCAACCACTCCCGTCCAACAGACTTAACCCAGTCCAGTCAGGCCGCGCCGCTCACGTCACCTAGTGATGGCAGTAGAAGCAGTGAAACCGATGAAAGTCTCGTATTACAAAGAGAAACTCAGATAAAAACTTACCGAACGACGTTGAGCAATAACCCACAGAATGTTCGAAAGAATAACGATATCCACAGGGTAACTATAGTGCAAACTACTGATTCTTCACACGTGGTAAACCAAGATGCTGTGGTTGTTTCGGTGAATGGACAAACACGGAGAACTTTAGTGTCGCCATCTACCGGCAATCAGGGAGAGGTAGAAATTCTTGCGCACGTATAATATTACATACCGAAAAGTTTCAGCATACAAACTCAGGCTGCGTAGCTTGTTTTTATTTCAATATTTTTGTATTTAAAAGTTTTCTATTATAATAATAAATAATATCATATCTATCATGTGTAAGTTATATTAGAAAGTTGATAAAACAAAGATACGACCCCTACTATCCGGTTACTTCATCGACATATATTTTCGATAAAGCTAACTAACTGCTAAATATAACTTTATTAAACTTAAAAAACAACCCTATCCCATATATTGACACAATTTTGAAATGCGCCTTGGTATTGTGGGTTCTCCCGTTTCAAAGTTTAATTCAAAATTATTAGTTTCCTTTTGAAAGAGTTGGGTGTAGAATGCTCTTTATAAACTTCCTAAATTGTAAGTCTTAAGAAAAGTTAATCTTTATGTTACAATGATATTTTTAACCGTCGAATTCATGATTTCTATTCAGCAAATGTTGATACGTTCTTATGTTTGGAAATTATTTCAGAGTTTACCAGATAATGTACATTTTAGCCAATCAAATTCATTAATATATATATATTACGAACCGTGATGTCTATTCGAGCGTTTATCTGTCTCCCGTTTGAAAAGCTGCGCACACATGCAAAGTTCAACATTCACTTTTGAAATGACGGGAGAACAGGCATGAATAATGTTGATGCCAAATTGTATTTCGCAAGCAGGATATTCTACACTAAATGGTCAGGAATTAATCACATTATCATTCAAATTTCAAAATGTGACGTAACTTAAAGAATAAAAATATAGATTTACCGTATGTTATTGTTGAGCGGCTCTTAGCATGACTGAAATGCTCAACAATTACTTTTTGCGGTGGGCGCTGTAAGTAGCTCAGAGCTTTGGCTCTGAGTGAAACCAAGAGTGCAACACATTTAACATTTTTAAAGTAAATGAAAATTTGATATTGATGGATTGACTTAAACTTTTCCCGTCACTAAGAACGGGTAGTTTGTTTGTATGGAATAATATTAATTCCTTACACATAAATATAAGCTAAGAAAGAATATTTTATGTGCTGCCATCTAGTGAAGCTTGTTGAAAGCATCTCAGAAATGTAAATTTGTAAAATTGGGAACGAACTAGCACTTATAAGTTATAATTCCGTAAAGTTTTTCTCCCTCCTTTGTGAACGACAAGCTTGGCCTATCTAAACTAGTCACTTTTTTTTACGTTTTGCCATTTTAAAATCATTTCTGCATTATTATGTTGGTGTGTTCTTACTGTTATTTATGTATTTGCACAAAATATTTCTTTAAATGGTAAGGAAATCGAGGGTATGATAAAGTTGGGCTCAAACAGATGTTTTCCTTTGAAAGAAATACACAAATATTGCTTCAACTGCACAAGAAAAAGTTAAAGTTTCCATTTTATTCATCAGGCTGTTAACAACAGTTCTAACTGGGTTTCTACTGTATTACAAAAACTTATGAAAGTAACGAACTTAATAATATATCAATCACGCTATATCAAGGTTTATGATTTTTTAACATAAAACATACTTATTTTAGTACAATGTTAAAGCATTTTTCGCCACTTACTCGGTAATATACCACGAAAATCGTAAGAAAAGTTATTGTTAGATGGCAGCACAAACTTTTTCAATCCATGTGGTTCAACGTTAAGCCTTAAGGCCTATATTGCTAAAATTGGGTTTTGATACCCATGGTGGGCACAGTATAGATAGCCCTAGTGTAGCTTTGCGCTTAACAACGAACAAACAAAATTAACGATTATCAAAATTGTTTAAAAATAATTAATCGACTTTGAATACTTAAGAAAAAAAACCAATAATTGAAAAATAATGTTCTTATATTATCAACTACGAAAGGCTGTACAGTAAACAATTAAAATGTAAGACTGATTTTCAAAATAGTTTCTTTGCACGTAAAATATCAAGTCAACGTTGGTGAATGTGTATCTTGAAGTTAGTTTCTCATTTTCAGTTTCTTATTGGGGAATGCAAAGCCAATATTATTTTTCGAATTTAAAGATTAATAGTACAGGCCCTTTGGTGATAAGTTCTCAACCAAATGCTAATAAACGTTCGCTTATTAAGGTTCGTTCATACAACCGATAAGTATTCACTAGAGAACAGAATATTATTATTTGAATATACATATGTACAGGGTCTGGCCACTTTATTAGGAACTATACCTAATCACGTATTGGGCTACCCTTTCCCGAATAATAGCCCTTATATGATGTGGCATAGAACCCTAAAGGTGCTGGAAGGTGTCCCAATGGAGTTACAGGTACGAAATTTTGGGTAGTACCGGAGCTATGATGGATGGGCAGGAGTTGTAATGAGCCTTGGAAACAAATTACAGAAAACAAAAAACAAAAGGGCTTCTTTGAAGTTTTCATACAAATCTTCCGCTGGGGGATGAGTGGGTAGGCCACCGTTAGCTCAGATGGATGGACAGGAGGTGTAATGAGCCTTGGAAACAAATTACAGAAAACTAAAAACAAAAGCGCTTCTTTGAAGTTTTCATACAAATCCCCAGCTGGGTGATGAGTGGGCAGGCCACCATTAGCTCAGGTATGCCAATGAGATGTCCTGAAGATTTTCCTCATTCAGTAATTGATATTATATGCAATTCATGGGATGATGTAGGCAGAAGATAGTGATGGTGAATGTGTCTTTCAAGTTCATCCCACAGATGCTTAAATTGATAGAGATCCAGGGATTGTAGTGGCCATGAGAGATTCCTGAAGTCTCCACCATGTTCCTCAAACTATGCATGCACAATCTGAGCACAGTGGACGGGAGCATAATCATCATGGAAATGTTTGTCCCTCTCAGGGTATGCATTTAATGAGAAATGATGCTGAAGTAAGCTGTGGCATTCATATTGCTTTCTAAAAGGACCAAGGATAGATACGTCAGGAAAACATGTCCCAAACCAACAGAATCCTGGACAGTTGGGATCACACAAGAGGGGCGAGTTATTCTTGTAGCTTTTTCCACATCTGTCTTCTCCCATCTGTTCAAAATAGGAAGAAGCATGATTCATTGGCCCACATCACCTTTCACCAGACCATATTAGTCCAATGTCTATACTCTTTACACCACTCAAGGTATTTTTTCTTGTTGATAACTTGGTCAAGTGGTTTATGTAATGGTCTCCTACTGCCATTGTCCATTTGTTTCAAAGTTTTTTGAAAGATGCAGCTAGAGAGTGGTGTGGATTTCTCTGCACTGAAAATCTGTCAGTTGGTTTGTTGTTTGACAGAATTTACCATCTTGTCTATTCTCCTTTGTCCTCTTTTTATCATAACATTTTGTGGCCACAACTGCTCCTCACAGCAGACATTTTACTCAACTCTTTCCAATGTTGATAAACTCAAGTGGCCACTGTCTTAGAACAGCCTACCTATGAAATTGTCTTGGTCGCCGTGGCACCTTTAGATATCTTTCCCCATATCTGCTAGATTGACTACAAATGTACTTGTTCGAGTTGCTTACAGTGCTGCAGGGATTACCTGACACATTATGTAATCAACGTAATTTACATGTGCAGTTCAAGTCAAGTCCTAGACTGAAAAAGTACATAGTGCCTAATAAAGTGGCCTGACCCTGTATGTAGGTATGTTATATACACACACACAAATGAATCATATTTTGGTTTGACATGAACTATTAACTTTGTCATCAAGTGGCATCAAGGATTTAACACACATATTAAAACACAAGTGATTTTTTAAAATATTTTTTTATGAAATACTATGTGTTATTATTCCTTTATATATTTCAAAATTTTCTAGAAATTATACATATACATATTTCTAGTGATTTTTTTAATGGAATAAAATAGATAGCCCTGGTCATTAGAAACTGAATAAATCATGTGATAAAAAAACACCTAAAAATATATGGGTTGTATGTCTTGACTTAGAGATTGCCAATAAAACTCATATTTAACCATCTTTCATTGCAAACTTATTATTTTCTTATATACATATCTCACAACATTCCAGGTTTGACAGTTTAAACAGATAAAACAAGCAGGATTTGATAGGACAATCACTTTGATCTACAAACTGTTGAAAAAGCAAAATGTTTCCTAACAAACAATGGCCAAATTATACAGTGGTACAGGAACTCGGAATTAGCAATCAAAGGGCCACAAGAAGTTTACCACATGAAGTGGCAAGAAAGTTCATCAACAAGTGGTGAAGTTCAAATTACAAAAAGGTTGCACTAGTATAAGATGAAAAAAAAAGACACAGAACTGTACATACTAAACCCAGGTTGGCCAGGTTTAATTTAATCCAGCTCTCCAAAAACTGAAGTATCCCTTAATTAAAAGTTAAGTTACTAAAATTAAAAATATCACTTATTTCACATTTTAAAGAAGCAGAGTATTATTGATATAATACTTGCATTATTTATTATGTATCTCTAAATGTATGGTGTATGGATATCACATGTGCCAGCATTCAAATAGCATTATAGAATCTAGAGTTCAAGACTGTTAATTAACAATATACCCCCTCCTGATTTGAAGTTAAACTGTTGTTTAAGTTAGCTTTATACAAAAAGAAAACAAAAAAATATCGATAAACATTAAGGATACAACTGATACACTTTATTATCTCTACATTCAAGTATACATCAAGAAGTACCTGAAATGTGATTAGTGATAACTTATATCTTTTTTATTATTATATTTCATATTAACAAGACAGAAACTATCCATACCTTATTTGTTACCATGCAATTAACCTAAAATAAAATCAAACTCTACATGAAATAACATGAATATTACACGATTTGAAATAACATTTGGAGATCATTAAGAAAAAAAAAAGACAAAAACAGTGGATTTCTTGATCAAATTGAGTCACTCTCAATCTTTTGACTAGCTGAAAAAAAACAATCTTAGCTCGTTTATGCTTTAGTAAATCCTTTTTTTTTCAATCCAGTTAATTTGTTTTTATTCTGTGCTATAACTTTAAGTCTTTTTTTTGTTCATCTTCAATTTATGCATTATCATGAAGACATGAATTTACCTTGCGAAAAAGACAACCAAGTTGAGTAGAGCTACTCTGCATGTTCTGTTGATAGCCTACTGACAAACATTTATTACAACCAAGTTGAGTAGAGCTACTCTGTATGTTCTGTTGATAGCCTACTGACAAACAATTTATTACAACCAAGTTGAGTAGAGCTACTCTGCATGTTCTGTTGATAGCCTACTGACAAACATTTATTACAACCAAGTTGAGTAGAGCTACTCTGCA